ATGACTTTAAATTAAACATGGGGGCACATTATTAAAATTTGCCCAACGATGTGAGCAATTAATCACAAAGAAGAGTGGAATTGGTTTGAGGAGGATATAGGTTGGTAATTTGGGTAGATAACTGACAAATAAAGTTCAGAGAAAAGAGTACAAGGAGGACTCTTGTGGCACAATGTTCCTCAGGGTCAGAAGGCCTGGGTTCAAGTCTCACCTTCTCCAGCTGTGTGTGATAACATGACCTAATGGTTGATTATTAACAAAAACAGAAATTAATAAAGGAACTCAGAAGATCTGACAGCATCTGTGCAGATAAAGCGGAGTTAACGTTTCAGGTCCAGTGACCCTTCTTTAGAACTTTAGTTGACTAAATAAGGTTTATAGCAGAGGACACTTGCACTAAATGGTGAAACTTTAGAAGACTAGATCAGCAGGGAAGTCCATAAATCTTTGAAGTGGGAGGCAAGTTGATAAAGTTGTCGGAGTACAAAATGTAAGAAGCTCCATTTTATAAAAAGTCATTTAATACAAAAGCAACTGCGAGCAGAGAAAAGTTTGAAATGCGAAATGGAGAGTGGTTTTATAGTTAGAGACAAAAAAAACTGCCGATGTTGGAATCCAAGGTGGACAGACAGGAGGCTGGGAGAACACAGCAGGCCAGACAGCATCTAGAGGAAAGGTTTCAGGTATTAGCCTTCTTCAGGACTATTCACAGCAAGCTTTTGTTAAACATGCAAAACCACAACCCTCCTTTGTTAATATTTAATTGCCTTTTGTGATGTTGAAATCTGAAGGAACTCTTAATGGCCTTGTCATTTCATCCATTTCACTGAGGAAGGGTAGTAGCCTGAAGAGGGGTAATACCCGAAACGTTGACTGCTCCTTTCCTCCAGATGCTGCCTGGCCTGCTGTGTTCTTTCAGCCTCCTGTTTGACTACCAGCGGTTTTATAGTGGTAAACTGGTAATCCAGAGATCCAGACTAATGTTCCAGGGACATGAGCTTGAATCCAACATTTGAATTCTATAAAAATCTGGAATTAAAAGATTATCCAATGATGACCATGCAACCATTGTCTTAAATAGCCCATCTGACTCATAAATGTCCTTTTAGGGAAAGAAATCTGTCAGTTTTACCTGCTCTGACTTCTCTATGCTGTTAGACCTATGGCAAGGTGGTTGACAATTAAATACCCTCTGAAATGGCATAGCAAGCCATTCTGTTTACGAACAACAGGAGATAGGCAATAATAAATACTGACTCAGCTAGCGAAGCCTACATCTGATGAACAGATAATAACAAAAAGTGTATGCAGAGTTTAGCGACACACTGTCTGAATTCCACAGTGAAATGGATGAAATGACAAAGCCATTAAGAGTTAGTTCAGATTTCAACATCACAAAAGGCAATGAAATATAAACAAAAGATGGTTGCGGTTTTGCATGTTTAGCGAAAGCTTGCTGTGAATAGACAGCAGTGATACATGGACACTGTTGCGGATTGATGGCAAGCATGATATTTTACTGTTGAAGACTGCAAAGTTCAAAGGACCCACTCTGCATGATTTAATCTTTTGGTAAACCAGATATTGAGCCAAAGGGGAAAAATAAATTTTACTATCCCCTTTTAACTGTCTGTTGGATTCATATTCCCGGACTGGATGGTAGAGGTGGTAACCCTAGCTATATTCAATTTGAAACACTGTGTTTCTCACCCCACAGATGCTGCCAAACCTGTTGAGTATTTCCAGAACTTTTTTATTTCAAGATTACATTGTAAAGCATTTAATGCACGGACAGGCCATTTAATCAAATGATCTGTGCAGGTGGTTATGTTCCACACAAGCCTCCTCCTACACTCCTACCTCCAGTCCAATCAGCAAAAACTGTCCACACCTTTCTCCCTTATCTATCTTCCCTTAAATAAATCTTTGCTATTTTTCTCAAGCACTCTAAATGATGCCATGTTTCACATTCCAACCAGTCTCTCGGTTTTATCTGAATTCCTTTCCAGAATTATTGCAAACTATCTCTTATTTTCTGGCCTCTATTTATTGACTGTCCATAAGGGGAAACATCTTCTCTGTGTTTGCTCTATCGAAACCTTCCATAATTTCAAAGATCTCAGATCACCATTGGTCTGCTTTTTTTTAATTCTGGCCTATTCAGTCTTCCACAGTTTCTCTAGTAACAATCTTGCAAATCATGAATGTCATTGGACACTTCACTGGATAAAACATCGATTCTTTCACTAACAAGAGCCCTCCATACTTTTAAAGATTGCTGTCAGAATCCCTACAGCATGGAAGCACCCATCGAGTCCACACTGAACCTCAAAAGAGCATCCCACACAGACCCATCCCCATACCCTAACCCTATAACCCTGCATTTCCCATGGCTAATCCACCTAGCCTACACATCCCTGGACACTATGAGCAATTAAGCATGGCTAACCACCTAATCCACTGAGGAGGCTGGATTGAAACCTGGCTCTCTGGTGCTGTGAGGAAGCAGAGCTAACCACTGAGCCACTGTGCCACCTGGCAGAAGGGGTGAATGGAAGCAACTGTGAATAGTTTGATTTTTCTTTGACATCTAACCCACATTTCCCATTTTGAGGTTCCCTTCCATTTACATTTCTCCCCTCCGTGTTTTTCTCCTTTTTCCTTTGAGCCTTCCAACTCTTGCTCCTGAGTATTTCGCCCAACTGTAGGGAGTTTCATCTTGATTCTACCCTCACTGTACTCAGCAACGATAACACTGTGTGTGATGTCTCTCTCCATACCCGAGCGGATGGCGTTAAAGAGGATAAAAATCGACTCGGGAAGGGGCTGGATGCATCGAATGCGCGGTAATCCAGAGTTAGTATATGAAGAACCACATCACTGAAGATTTGGGTCCCAAAGCAGCAATGTGCATGTCTCTACATGTAAGTGGATTGCAGCAGCTTGAGGGGCAGCCTGCCGCCATCTTCTCAAGGGGAATAAGGAGAGGCAATGAATGCTGTTTCAACCAGTGAAGCCCATTTCCCAGAATTAATAAAAAAAAATTTCCACCAGTGTTGTACAGGGCTCATTGTAACCTGAGTAGGAAGTAGGAGGACCCTGTTAAGGAAATGCTGTGCCTCTGTGATTTCTGTATTTATCGCTAAGGGTAGTGTCCTTTATGTGAAAACTGATGAGGGTGATTGGTGGAGCAATATTAACTGGGCATTCGTGGACCTGACTTTCTACCTGTAACCGATGTTGCTAAGGTTTTTGTGGGAAGGTACTAGATTCCATCAGGTCATATGTAGGTCCCACGAGTGAATGTGGAAAACTGTTGATCCATCTGCTGTTCCCATCTAATTGAGAATAATCTGGATTTGCAAGGGCGCAAATCAGTGCAGTTTCAGAATGGGTAAGGGTGTGGTCTAGCAATTCCACCCCATCCCCACCAATCCCCCACCCCCTCTTTCTATAGGCAGGTGCTCAGGCTGGTTGGCATGTCTTAATTCTTTGAAGAGGTGACCAAACACGTGGATGAAGGTAGAGCAGTGGATGTGGTATACATGGATTTAAGTAAGGCGTTTGATAAGGTTCCCCATGGTAGGCTCATGCAGAAAGTAAAGAGGCATGGGATAGGGGGAAATGTGGCAGATTGGATTCAGAATTGGCTGACCCTTAGAAGACAAAGGGTGGTAGTGGACGGAAAATATTCATCATGGTGTTCAGCTACAAGTGGTGTGCTACAAGGATCTGTTCTGGATCCCCTTCTATTTGTGATTTTTGTAAATGATTTGGATGTAGGATTGGAAGGGTAGATTAGTCAGTTCGCGGACGATACGAAGGTGGGTCGAGTTGTGGACAGTGCGGAGGGCTGTTCTAGGTTACAAAGGGACATTGGTAGGATGCAGAGCTGGGCTGAGTAGTGGCAGATGGAATTTAACCCTGAAAAGTGTGAGGCGATTCATTTTGGAAGGAAAAACTTGAAAGCAGAATACAAGGTTAACGGAAAGATTCTTGGCAGTGTGGAGGAGCAGAGGGATCTTGGGGTTCATGTCCACAGTTCCCTGAAAGCTGCCACCCAGGTGGATAGAGTTGTTAAGAAGGCGTATGGTGTGTCAGCTTTCATTAATAGAGGGATTGAGTTCAAGAGCCGTGAAGTTATGCTCCAGCTATACAAAAGCCTGGCTCGGCCACATCTGCAGTATTGTGTCCAGTTCTGGTCACCTCATTACAGGAAAGATGTGGAAGCATTGGAAAAGATGCAGAGGAGATTTACCAGGATGTTGCCTGGAATGGAGGGAAGGTCTTACGACGAAAGGTTGAGAGAGCTCGGGCTTTTCTCTTTAGAACAACTAAGGATGAGAGGTGACTTGATAGAGGTGTACAAAATGATCAGAGGTATAGATAGAGTAGACAGCCGGAGCCTTTTTCCTAGGGTGGAGGTAGCTATTACGAGGGGGTATAGTTTTAAAGTGAGTGAAGGTAGATATAGGAGAGACGTCAGAGGTAGGTTCTTTACTCAGAGAGTGGTAGGGACGTGGAATGCATTGCCGGAGAGGGTAGTGGAGTCAGCCTCATTAGGGGCATTTAAGTGGCTATTAGACAAGCATATGGATGATAGTATAAGGTGGAGGTGGAGGTTAGATAGACCTTAGGTTTAGGGTAAAAGTTCGGCACAACATCATGGGCTGAAGGGCCTGTACTGTGCTATACTGTTCTATGTTCTATGTTCTATGTCATACATGAAATAGTATTGGCACCCAGCTGTCCCATGCTGTGTGGGAGACTTTCCAGTAACTGCGGATTCTGGCAGAGATCAGTGTTGGAGAAGACATCTCAGGATTGGGGTCTGTGGAAATTCACTGGAATGTTTCCATTTTGTTCAGTGTCACTGCCTACACCGATACCCTCTCTGTATCTCTGTTACAATGACTATATCGTGTGAAGATTGTTTGTCCTCTGTTGAATATCGTATTAACGCTCCCTACTATGTTTGTTGATTGCCTCTTTACCCTTAGCCGGAGTTACTGGAGTCATACCAATGGAGATCTTTGACCAAACTGCACGGCCTGCAGCCTACATGATCAATGGTTCCCTGCTCTGGATAAACTTTATTATTGTTGGCGTGCTTTTCCCATTCATTGTAGTAAGTATCTTAAACATAGACTAAATCTAACTTCATATTGTGACTCTGTTATTAAATAATTTCTAATAAAACGCTTCCTTGGTTGTGCAGTGTGCCTTTTCTGGATCCCTCCTTCTAATACTCTTAATAAATCTACTCCATTTAAAATGGATTCTTCTGTCTCCCTCACCTCATTTCCCCCTGAGATCGATGTTTAGCAGTTTTTACTTTTCAGTCAGCTACTAGGTTTTGGTAGATATTGGTGTCCAGATGATTTGCCATCTATGTCTGCTGGGATTTGAGTCAGCCCTTTTAAACCCTGGGCATTGCGATAATCTGTGGTCCAGCCCTATGAAACGTATGAGCATGCAGGAGTACTGATGTATCATACTGTCACTCCTACAGCTGTGTGACCTATTGGTTATAAAAACAAGACTCCCCAAATAGCATGAGATGGAGACAGAGCTCCCCGCATTCTTAGACAATAAATAACATCCACTGGCATAAATCATTGCAGTGTAGATTAGCCATATTCGAAATGATCAGCACTGTTCACTTGTGAGTATGATCATTGAAGTCGAACAGATATTCTTTTCCCACAAACATAGGGAAAAGGGTTGTGAGATCACACAGACCAGAAGGAGGCCTTTTTGATTCTTTGTGGCTCCAATGGTATTTTTAAAATAAAACACTATCTGAATAGTACTGCTCTTTCCCCACAGCCCTTTTCACGTACATATCTAATTCCTATTCAAAAGCTACTGTTGAGAGAGCTACAGCCCTTTCAGATGGTACATTCCAGATTATATCAGCTTGTTGAATCAGAAAAGGGTTCTGCTTGTCTCCAGGGATTTAAAATAAGGGGTAAACCATTTAAGACTGACTTGAGGAGGAATTTCTTCATTTGGAGCCGGTGAATCCTTGGGATTTGCTCCTCAAAGGACTGTGGAGTGCAATCATTGAGATTATTCAAGACAGAGATTGACAGATTTCTACATATTAAAGATATCACGAGAAACACAGGTAGTATGGGAGTATTGTGTTGAGACAGAGGTGCAGCCTTGATTTAATTAGGAGCAGGCTCAAAGGGCCGAATGGCCTACTCATGCTGCTATCTCCTATGTGCCTGTATTGTCTGGTTCTTTTGTGCATTATATTAAATCTTTATCCTTTTGTTATTGACTCTCCTGCCAGTGGAACCAGTTTGTTTCCCATCAGCCAAATGAAAACCTCTTCAGAATTTTGAATACCTCTATTCATTCCTTCCTTCACCTTCTCTGGATGGTCCTTTTCAACTAAACAACAGCTCAGGGGAGCAGCCACTTTCTAATGCATTCCACATGGCAATGCCCTGACCAGTAGCAACCCTTACCAATCAATCAGCACTTTCTACTCATGCAGTACCTTTGAGATTTGGTATTCTTGCGATTGTGTTCTGGTTAATGCGAGATAGCATATATCCGTTTTCAGCAATAATCAGATATTTCAGGACCACCGTCACCAAACTTAAAGTGCCCAGTTAATGTGATTCAATTTGAATTCCTGTCCCTATCATTAGCTGAGGTCTCTAGATTACCAGCCCAGTAACTGTGCTGCAGTTTTCTATCATCAAGTTCATGGCTGTGATCAAGGTTCATAACATTTATTATCATTTAGGAATTTGGATGTTAAAGTACAGCTAAAATGGATTTGTGGCTTCAGTTCTGAGAAGGTACCCTATTTTTCAATTCAGAAAGTAATTTGGAACAGTAATTAAATACAATATTTAATTGTGTATAACTTAGGTTAAGTGCCTAAAGAGATACCTGTGAAGTTAATTTATGAAGAGTTTACTATGCCGAGTTTCATGACATACAAAAAAATGATGAGGGGCCACTTATAGTTTTGAGTTCAGCAGAATCACGTTTCAGTTCAGAAGGACAGTTCCATCCTAGTAATAGGGGAATTTATAAAAAAAATCTAGGAATCTCTTGGTAGAAGTCTCCTGGAAGGCAAACTGAAATGAAATGGAACTTAAGTCCTCAGAACTGGAAAGAAGTCTTTAGTTGAGCAAAACTGGAAAGAGTCAGTTTACTGAGAAATTGAAGAGTTAAGATCGGTGTGATACTTCACCAGCATCTGTAAATATCCGTAAAAGATATTGCTGGGAAAATAGTTGAATCTTTATCGTTGTTATGCACATTAAGACCTTTCTAAACTGACTCATTTATAGGATTTGTTTATTCCTTTTGCTAAAGAATACCTGCAGCTCTGTATCAATATGATCAGTGACTGACCACCATGGAAAACAAACTGTGAAAAAAAACCGAGATAACAAGGTGTAGAGCTGGATGAACACAGCAGGCCAAACAGCATCAAAGGAGCAGGAAAGCTGACGTTTTCTGAAGAAGGGTCTAGGCCCGAAACGTCAGCTTTCCTGCTCCTCTGATGCTGCTTGGCCTGTGTTCATCCAGCTCTACACCTTGTTATCTCAGATTCTCCAGCATCTGCAGTTCCTACTATCTGTGAAAAAAAATTTATGTTCAAGCCAGGTTTCACTCTGGAATTTGACTTGTCTTGTAGTACGACCAGCTGCGATCATAACATGACTTTTCCAAAGAACTTTAACGTTGTATGGCATGGAGCCATGGTCCCCAAAAGGCCATAGGATCTCACCTTTAGAATGAGGTTATGAGGGTAAACACTCCATAAGTATGGAGTTTGGTGAGAAGGCATGTCTCCAATAAAAGTCCCATATGCGGTACAAGGGCTAAACCCGCGCTGTTGGCTTTATTCAGCATTATGACTCTACTCAACAAGCTTATTGACCATCCCTAGAACGTTAAGATAGCTACCCAGAAATCCAATGGGGAATTCAAGAAGAAACGTCTTTACCAAAAGAGTGGTGAGAATGTAGAACCCAATAAGTACAGGGAGTCAGTGGTTAAAGCAAGTAGTATTGATTTAAGGGAACGTTATACAAAAATACGAGAAATAAATTGGAGTATGATGACCAATTTAAAAGTAAGTGTTTCACTATCCTGTGGTCTGAAAGGTCAGATTCTCTGATGTATATGGTATGTAAAACTGGAAGGGTCAGAAATGTAGCTGGTTTAGAATGGTTACAGAGAAAGGAAAGGAAGAGCGAGGATGATATATGGCAGAGGTTGAGGAATTAAATGACAACATGGTTTATAGAATTACACAGTGCAGAAGAGGCCCTTCAGCCCATCAAGTCTGCACTGACCCATGAGAAACACCTGGCCTTCAACCTCATCCCATTTACCAGCAATTGGCCTGTAGCCTTGAATGCTATGACGTGCCAAGTGCTCATCCAGCAACTTTTTAAAGGATGTGAGGCAACTTGCCTCTCCCACCCTCCCAGGCAGTGCATTCCAGGCTGGTGTAGAATCCCTACAGTGTGGAAGCAGGCCATTTGGCCCATATTGACCCTTTGTAAAGCATCCCACCCAGACCCAAACCCCACCTTATCCCTGTAACCCCGCATTCCCCATGGCTAACCCACCTTTAGCCTGCACCTTGAATGCTCTGGTGCAATTTAGCATGGCCAATCCACCATAACCTGCACATCCCTGGACACTAGGGGTAATTTAGCATGGCCAATCCACCATAACCTGCACATCCCTGGACACTAGGGGTAATTTAGCATGGTCAATCCACCTTAACCTGCATATCTTTGGACCATGGGAGGAAACCCATGCAGACACTGGGGGAATGTGCGAACTCCACACAGACAGTTGCCCGAGGGTGGAATCAAACCCAGGTCCCTGGCGCTGTGAGGCAGCAGTGCTAACCACTGAGCCACCGTGCCACCCCTGGGTAAAAACGATTTTCCTCTCATTCCCCCCAGACCTCCTGCCCCTCACGCTGAACCCATGTCCCCTCGTGACTGAGCCTTCAACTCAGGGGAACAGATGCTCCTAATCTGTGCTGTCCATGCCCCTCATAATCTTGTACACCTCAATCAGATAGTAGCATAGAGCAAAGGGGGACAGCAATTAGACTAAAAAAGTATAAAAATGGTTCAGGAGAAGGTGTGAAAGGCAGCAACAGAATCATGACTACATTTAAAATTTGTTCTGTTTGCACTCAGTCTGCTTTTCCCTGTTTCAGGAAGGATTGGGCAGTTTCTGTTACATCCCATTTCTTACCATCAGTTTACTCTCTGCTTTGTTCATCGGATTCTTTCTGCCAGAAACGAAAGGAAAGACCCTTCTGGAGATTTCTCGGGAGTTCCACAAATGCAATTTCGAGGCTCAACCGGAACAGACGGAAACAAAAATGTGAAATTGATAAACCGACCGTGTTGTTATCGAAGGTTGTGTGTCTCTGTAACATTATAAATTTGCTTCTTTCTGTTGACTGGTCTTTGTTTTTCTACTTGATGATTGTTTGCCTACTTCCACAACTTAAGGCAAGTGTGGTTTATTTTGGCTGTTTCTGCAAGGTGGCACTGGATAAGGTATTGGATAAAGATAGGGAATTACGAATTCCTGTCAATAATGGGAGGTTGCCTTCTGCTGGTGGGAATTATGGGAAATTAGGGCCTGCCGTTGTGTTGCTGCCCCATTTGGGAATTCCTCTCCTTCTGGGTGCTGTCTCTGCCTCTCTCTCTCTCTCTAAATGGCAATGGTGGCCTTTCAATTGCCTCTTTTTGCCCATTACCATCAAATCCCGGAACTGCCAGCAGGAAGCTGATAATGAGTACCTGAGAGTAGCTGCATGGGCTTCAGGGTGGGTTCCCTACAGAGGAGGGGAGGTGGGGGTGGTGGGTAAGTGGGTCTCCTCTTCTTCCATTTCATCTCAGGACATCCTGGTTAGAACCACTGCTGCCAATACAGACTTGTATAGCAGGCCGCCATTTCGCATGTTGAGGGTCCTCTTTCCAGTTTACGTCCGTTGCAAATTGTTCAGGAGCTAAAGCTACCAACTCTGGTTGGACGTATCGCTGGGGGTTCAATTGTGAAGCCCCTAGCCACCTTGGTTAGCCAAACAGCCACAACTGTGTCATTTCAACAGCTTTCCTCGAGAAAGAAAAAGCGGTTTATAAAATCACAACGGGCATTGATAGAGTGAATAGCAAGGGTAGGGGGAGTTCAAAACTAAGGGGCATATTTTTAAGGTGAGAGGAGAAAGATTTAAAAGGCAAATGAGGGGCAACTTTTTTTACACAGAGAGTGGTTCATGTGTGGAGTGAGCTGCCAGAGGGAGCGGTGGATGCAGGCACAGTTGCAACATTTAAAAGACATTTGGACAGGAAAGATTCTGAGGGATATGGGCCAAATGCAGGCAAATTGGACTTGTGTAGTTTGGGAACATGGTCAGCATGGACTGGTTGGACCAATTTCTTAATGATTCAATAGTAAAATGATTCAAATTTCTATGAAATTTTAAAACAAAACTTTTCCTTCACAATCGAAACATCAATTTTCAAGAACTGAATGAGAATAAAAACATTGGAGTCAATGCGCATTTGCATGTTGTACATAAATTGGACATTATGTTGACACGTGCACAGTACATGTTATGATCCCAGCTGATGTTATTGCTGCACAAGTCAGATCCCAGACAGGAACTTGGCTTGATAGGTCACATTTTGATTTGTACTGGTTTTAACAAGATACTCTCTCCATGAAACATGGCACACAATGCTGCAGATTTTCCTTTAACAATAAAACAAAAGTTTACTAACAAAAGTGATGAAGACAAAACTGAATTAACCAAACCATCTACTTATAACAAAAAAGATCAAAGATTTTTGAACACACAGTAAAAGCATTGTGTCCAATCTCAAAACAGTCAAAGATTGAAAAGAAGCAAAACAGCTTTTGTGTTGGTACTCAGAATGCACCACTGGTACAGTACCCAAAACTCTATTCAAACAATACTCACACCAGAGTCCCTGCATTTCCTGGAGTTGTCTTGCAGTGATTGTAACGAGATCAGCCACTTGACCTCATGGAATATGAGTTCCCTGATTGGAGCTGTTAACTTGGTCCAATCAGGGAGCCCTGGCTGACAGATATAAACAGGCATGTCAGAGGTTCTGGTCACTCTGAGAGCTGGCTGTGAGGGAACTGGATCAATGTCAAAGACTCTCCCTGTGTCAATAAAGGGTGACTGGATGACAGGATACGGTCTCTGTGGAGGTTTCTCGCATCGCACACTTTCTTAGTCTGGGAATAACACTAATTCTTCACTCTATACTCAGCTGACTGGAGACTTTAACGACAAGGAAACATAAAGATGACCCCTAGTGCATTAATATCTTGCTTTATTTTCTGTGTTTCAAGATGGCACCGGAGTATGGTGACACTAACCAAGTCTTTTCACTGTATTTGTATGCAAGTGACAATAAATAAATCTAATCTAACCTAACCTAATCCTTCTGAGGAACAGTAGTCTATACAACTATCCTATTCCAAAGCCCCCACAGGACTGTCCTATTCAAAGTAAAAAACTGAAACTCAAAATTCTTTAACTAAGCAATTGGTGTTTCTCATAAACTTTTCCAAAAATAATTTCCAAAAGTCTAGAACTGAGCCTGGAGGGACTGGGCACTGTTCTTGCCAAAGGAAGGTTATGCTCGCGATAGAAAGTGCAAAGATTCACCAGACTGATTCTTCAGAGATTGAGGAGACTGTGTCTGTATTCTCTAGAATTTAGAAGAATGAGAGATGATCTCATGGATAGATACAATATTCTGACAGTGTTTGACAGGGTGGATGCAGGAATGATCCTTTCCAGTTGGAACAAGGGGACGTAATTTCAGAATAATGGGTAGGCAATTTAGGACTGAGATGAGGAGGAATGGTTTGGTATATCTGTGGAATTTTCTGTCATTGAGTATGAGAAAGACGGATTGATAGATTTCTAGATATTGAAGATATCAAAGGATGTGGGGATAGTGAGGGAAAATTACAGTACAGGTCAGCAATCATCTGGTTGAATACTGGAGCTGACTCAAAGGATGAATGGCTAACTCGTGCCCCTACAATATTTTCTATGTTGCTACTTGTGTTCTTCTGATTTTTGATCAAACTGAGATAGCATCCTTCTCTGCCTGTGCCCGGATAGTCAATAGTGTCACTGTACATATGTGTTAAAGACGTACAGCTCCACAAGAGATATCACTTGCATTTATCCACACTCATTCAATGTCATAGAGTCATAGAGCTCAGAAATAGGCCTATCGGCCAAACATGTCCATGCCGAATGTCACTGCCAAACCGTCCTTGCAGCTCAAATTATGTAAACTTGTTACAGTTGTTCATTAGCTAAATGCAGGTTGAGGATCACGTGCAGGCTTTCAAATCTTCAACATTCACAGAGTCGTTGGCAAACTCCAGGAGGACCACAGGTTGAAAAGTAGATGCAAATTAGAAGACAATTCAAATTTGAACTTAACACAGTGTGGAGCTGGAGGAACACAGCAGGCCAAGCAGCATCAGAGGAGCAAGAAAGCTTTTCTGAATAATGATCCCGACCCGAAACGTCAACTTTTCTGTTCCTCTCATGCTGCCTGGCCTGCTGTGTTCATCCAGCTCCACACTGTGTTATCTCTGACTCCAGCATCGGCAGTTCTTACTATCTCAAATTTGAACTTGTTCCCTCACATTAATATTTAGCTGCATTGAGTTGTGTGGGAAATGAAGGGGAATAGCATCTGATTGAAACCTTTTGCGAAGCATTTTCAATAATTTTGTAAAGAACTTTCACACTTTAGAAACAATAAGCCACTCATAAGGTTTACAAATCAATTGTCAATCTCCACTGGTTTGTATTTGATTAAAAAAACACAAAATTTGATTTTTTAGATTTTCTGCCCCTGGATTGAGCAGGGCTGGTATATTAAAATTTGCACAGGTCTGCACAGGTCTCTCCTTTGCCTCTGAAATTTCCTAGTGTCACCGCCCCCTGCTGTCTGGCGTGGCTCATTACGGGGGGGGAAAAATCTTATCACCGCCCCCTGCTGCCTGGAGGTGTTTAGTGTTTGGAGGGAAGGTTTATCACCGCCCCCTGCTGCCTGGAGGAGTTCAGTGTCTGGAGATAGAGGGTTATCACTGTCCCCTGCTGGCCGGAGGAGCTCAGTGCCTGGGGGCATGGGGATAATCACTGCCCCCTGCTGTCTGGAGGAGCTCAGTGCCTGGGAGTTGGGGATAATCACCGCCCCCTGCTGCCGGGAGGGGCTCAGTGCCCGGGGATGGGGATAATCACCGCCCCCTGCTGCCTGGAGGAGCTCAGTGCCCGGGAGCTGGGGATAAACACCGCCCCCTGCTGCCTGGAGGACTGGGCTGGCGCCAGGCGGCGGGCGGGGGGACTGCACCATTGGTGGTGGGGAGTTGGGAACTGGTTGTTGGGGAGAGGGAGGCGAGTGAGGTTGCCGTTAGCGGCCGGGAATGTCGTTCGGTTTGCGGAAGATGGAGCCGAGCCGCCCAGCGGTGCTGGAGGTGGAGGATCGGCAGCAGGTAGAAGGGGGAATGGGGACGGACCTGGGCCACCTCCCCCCCGGGGGGGCATGGAGGAAAAGGGGGGAGGGAGAGAGAAAAGGAGGGAGGGATGGAGGAAAAGGAGGAGGGAGAGAGGTGAAGGGGGTAGGCCCTTTCACTTTTATCACAGTGTTTTCCTACAGATATAAGGCACAGAAAGAGGGACTTTGGCCCATTGCAATCCAACATTGGTCAGAAACAACTACCTAATTCTTCTAATCCAATTTACTAGCACTGGGCCCATAGCCTTGTATGTGCTGGTGTCACAAGTACACATCTACATACTTCTTCAATTTTATGAGAGTCTCTGTCTGTACCACTTTTATGGGCAGTGAGTGCCAGGTTCCCAACACCTTCTGGTTAAAAAAGTTTATTTTAACCTCACATCTCGTCTAACCCTCCTGCCCCTCATTTTAAAGCTATGCCCCCAGTCACTAATCCCTCTATCAATGGGAAAACTTCCTTCCTGCCTATCCTGTCTGTGCTTCTCAGTTTTATTCATCTCATTCAATGTCCCCTCTCAGTCTCCTCTGCTCTAAGGAAAACAATTCCAGCCTGTCCTAAGGCACTGGCTCCCCCACCTCTTCCTCCGTTACATCGATGACTGTATTGGCGCCACCTCATGCTCCCATGAGGAACTCGAACAGTTCATCAACTTTCCTAACACCTTCCACCCCAACTTCAAATTCACATGGACAATCTCTGATACCACTCTCTCCTTCCTGGACCTCTCTGTCTTCATCTCTGGTAACCACCTTGAAACTGATATCTATTTCAAGCCCACCGACTCCCACAGCTACCTAGACTATACTTCCTCTCACCCAACTTCCTGCAAGAATGCAATCCCCTATTCCCAATTCCTCCGCATCTGCTGCATCTGCTTCCAAGATGAGGCATTCCACACCCGGACATCCCAGATGTCCTCGTTTTTCAAGGACTGCAGTTTCCCCCCTGCAATGGTCGAAAATGCCCTCGACCGCATCTTTCGCTTTTACCGCAACTCAGCCCTCACATTTCCTCCCCGCAATAACAACAAAGACAGAGTTCCCCGTGTCCTCTCGTATCACCCCATTAACCTCCGGATCCAACGCATTATTCTCCGCCACTTCCGCCACCTGCAATCTGACCCCACTACCAAGGATATATTTCCCATCCCATCCTTATCTGCCTTGCGGAGGGACCACTCTGTCCGCGACTCCCTTGTGCGCTCCACACTCCTCATGAGCCCCACCACCCCGGCACCTTTCCCTGCAACCGCAGGAGGTGCTACACTTCCCCCCCCCGCGCCCCCTCCATCCCAGACCCCCAAAAAACCTTCCACGTTAAACAGATGTTCACCTGCACATCCGCTAATGTGGTCTATTGTATCCGCTGTTCCCGATGTGGCCTCCTCTACGTTGGAGATACCAAGCGGAGGATCGGAGACCGCTTTGTGGAACACCTACGCTCTATTCGCAACAAACGACAACACCTCCCAGTCGCGAACCACTTCAACTCCCCCTCCCACTCCCTGGACGACATTTCCATCCTGGGCCTCCTCCAGTGTCACAACGATGCCACCCGGAAACTGGAGGAACAGCACCTCATACTCCGTCAACACGAGAGTAACTTGTCCTAGTTTAGCCATATTTTCTGGAGCCAAATCTTTTCCACCAGAGAAACTTCGGTCCCTACTACTACCAGCAAAGGCAAGCAATTGGATGCATAATTCATATTCCACTCTAATGCTGACCTCACTGAAACTTGAATACTGCTTAAAAAAACTCTCAGTAAGTCTGGCACCATCTGTAGAGAGAAAAAAGGTTAACGTTTCTAGTCTGATATGACTCAATGGTCCAATATGTAGGAGGAGGGAATGTGTGGGTGGGGAACGAGAGAAAGGGTGAGTGAGTGGCACTGTGTGGGGAGGGAAGTGCTGGAGGTGGTAGGGAGTGGGGGAAGGACTGAGGGTGTTGGGCCGCCTCAGGAAGGAGGGAGGGAACTGTTGAGAGAATGGAGGTGGTTGGGGAAAGGGTTGAATGAGTGGGACTTGTTGGAGGAGGGAAAAGTGGAGTGATTGGGGGCTGCATGGGTAGGGAGGGTAAATGGAATGAGTGGAGTGAATTGGGAGGGAGAAAGGGGTGAAGAGTAAAGGGTGAATCAGGAGGAAGTGTAAGATTTATGAGAGTCTGGGGTGGTTGGTCAGGGAAATGGTTTGAGTGAGTTGGGGCTGAATGGGTGGGGAAGGAGGGCAAGTGTGAGTGAATGAGGAGTGGGGATTTTTGAAGAGGTTGTGCTAAATGATTGAATACATTGGAGAGAAATGGGTTGGCATGAAGTTTGTTTATGGTGGGGAGGGAGGAGCAGATTACACTGGGTTGTTGCAGGGCAATGTCTTTTCACCATGGAACATAGAGAGTTTAGGTGAAACATACAAGAGTGCATTATATAATAAAAAAAATTACGAAGTACCTTAAAACACATTTTCATGTGAGTTCGATGTAATAGGTAAACTCTAAGAATTAATTACTGAATGTTTCTGTCCTGCTTTAGGAATGTTTGGTTTTGCTAATGTCTGGGGTTACATTAATTTTTAAATGTAGCTTCTATGTATTTGTTCATTGAAAGGGGACATCACTGGCAAGACCAGTCTCTATTGTCCTTGGAAAGGTTCTGGGGAGTAAAAATGGGGCCATATTGAAAAATAGTTTGTGGAACTCTGCCGTATTTCTTTGTTTCCCCTTGTCTCTACATAAGCCGGCAAAGCAAGCTGGTATTCTGTTGTTACTGTGGTTGGTGGCTATTGTGGCAATGGTGCATTTAAGTTTCTGACTGAGACATGAACTTGGTAGCCATGAGCTGAATCTTACTGAGAGTTGGAATCTCCAGCTTTCTCCTGGTGCCAGATGCCAGTGAGGACAGGAATAGAAGTACAGGACAGATCAATGTGTGGCTGAGGAGCGAGTGCAGGGAGCAGGAATTGAGATTTTTGGATAATTGGGATCTCTTCTGGGGCAGAACCGACCTGTATGAGAGGTAAGGGTTGCACCTGAACTGGAGGGGGACCAATATCCTGGCAGGGAGATTTGTACAAGCTACTCAGGAGGCTTTAGACTAGTCTGGCATGGAGAGGTGGGGCTGTGAAATGTAGTGAGATGAGAGGGAAGATTGGGGCTAGTACAGAAGTTAAAGAGAGCCAGTTAAATAGACAAGGCATGCAACAGCATGGCAGAAAACAAGGGAAGACTGATGAATTAAAATGCATTTATTTTAATGGAAGAGGCCTGACAAGTAAGACAGATGAACTCAGGGCATGGAGGGGAACATGGTACTGAGATATCAAAGTTATTGCAGAGATGTGGCTGAGGGAGGGACAGAACTGGCAACCCAGTGTTCTGGGGTGCAGACACTATAGGAATGATTGAAAGGGAGGCAAGAGAGAAGGGGGAGTGACGCTTTTGATTAGGAAAAACATCATGGGGGATATTCCTGGGGGATCGACCAGTGAAGCTATATGGGTGGAACTGAGAAATAAGAAGTGGTTGATAACTGATGGAATTGTACTATAGCAACACCTGCAACAGTCAATGGGAAATTGAGGAGCAAATATGCAGGGAGATCACAGATAACTGTAAGAATAATAGGGTTGTAATAGTAGGGCATTTTAACTTTCCAAACATTGACTGGGACTGCCATAGTGTTAAGGGCTTCGATGGGGAGAAATTTGTGTGTTCACGAAAACTTTCTTAATCAATATGTAGATGGCCCTACTAGAGAAGGGGCAAAACCCGACTTTCCCTTGGGAAATAAGGCGGGGCAAATGACCAAGGGGTTCTGGGGGAGCTCTTTGGGATCAGTGACCATAATTATATTAGTTTTAAAATAGTTATGGAAAAGGATGGGCCTCGTCCCCAAGTTAAAGTTCTAAGTTGGGGTAAGACCAATTTTGATAGTGTTAGACAAGAACTTTCGAAAGTTGTTTGGGAGAGGCTGTTCACAGATGAAGGGAAGCTTAACAAGTGGGAGACTTTCAGAAGTGAGATAACAAGTTCAGGGTCAGCATGTTTCTGTTCGTATGAAGGGCGAGGCTAGCAGGGGTAGGGAAGACTGGATGTCTAGAAATATTGAGGCTCTGGTCAAGAAAAAGAAGACACATATGTCAGTTATAGATTGCTGGGATCAAGTGAATCCCTTGAGGAGTAAAGGTGGTGTAGATATACTCTTAAGAGGGAAATCAGGAGGGCAAAAGGTATACATGAGATAGCTTTGGTAGATAAGGTTAAGGAGAATCCAAAGAGATTCTACAAGTATATTAAGAGCAAAAGAGTAACTAGAAAGAGAATAGGGCCCCTTAAAGATCAATGGACATGGGTGAGGTGCTGGAAGACTGGAGAGTGGCTAATGTTGTGCCATTATTTAAGAAAGTCGAAGGAAAAGCCATGCAACTATAGACCAGTGAGCCTGACATCAGTGGTAGGTAAGGTGTTGGAGGGGATTCTGAGAGGTAGGATTTACGTGCATTTGGAAAGGCAAGGACTGATTAGGGATTGATAGCGTGGCTTTGTGCGTGGGAAATCATGTCTCACAAATTTGAATTTTTTGAAAAGGTGACCAAGAAGATGGATGAAGACAGAGCGGTAGACATTGCCTACGTGGACTTTAGTAAGGCGTTCGACAAGGCTTTGCATGGTAGACTGGTTAGTAAGGTTGGATCACATGAGATCCAGGGAGACCTAGCCAATTTGATACAAAACTGGCTTGACGGTAGGAGACAGAGGGTTTATGTTCAGACTGGAGGCCTGTGACCAGCAGTGTGCCACACTGATTGGTACTGGGTCCACAGCTTTTTGTCATTTATACCAACAACTTGGATAAAGAATATAGGAGGCATGGTTAGTAAATTTGCAGATGACACCAAAATTGGTGGTATAGTGAACAATGAAGAAAGTTATCTAAGATTAAAAAGGAATCTTAATAATTGGGCCAATGGCCCAAGGAATGGCAGATGGAATTTAATATAGATTAATGCAAAGTGTTGCATTTTGAAAGACAAACCAGGGCAGGACTTGTAGAGTTAATGGTAGGGCTCTGGGTAGTGTTGTTGAACAGGGACACCTAGGGGCTCAGGTTCACAGTTCCTTGAAGATGGAGTCGCAGGTAGACAGGGGAAGGTGAAGAAGGTGTTTGGTACACTTGCCTCCATTGTTCAGAACATTGAGTGTAGGAGTTGGGATGTCATGTTAGAGCTGTATAAGACATCGGTAAGTCCACGTTTGGACTACTGCATACAACGCTGGTGACCCTGCCATAGAGAGGATGTTATTAAACTGGAAAAGTTGGATAAAAGATTTAAAAGAATGTTACTGAGACTGGAGAGTTTGAGTTACAAGGACAGGCTGGATAGACTGGGACTTTTTACCCCTGAAATGTAGGAGACTGAGGAGTCAGTGGTTTATAAAATTGTGAGGGGCTTAGATAAGGTGAATAGCCAAAGTCTTTTCCCCAGAATAGGGGAGTCTGAAACAAGAGAGCAAAGGTTTAAGGTGAGAGGGGAATGATTTAAAAGAGACCTGAGGGGCAACTTTTTCACACAGAGGGTGATGCACGTATAGAGCAAACAGCCAGAGGAAGTGGTGGAGGCGAGTACAATTACAACATTTAAAAGGCATTTGGACTGGTAAGTGGATAGGAACGGTTTAGAGGGTTATGAGCCAAATGTAGGCAAATGGGACTAGTTCAGTTTCGGAAACCTGGTTGGTGTGGACAAGTTGGGCCAAATGGTCTGTTTCCGTGCTGTATGACTCTAAGATTCTATGACTCTATCTGGTGAGCCTCCCCTGCCAGTTCAAGAGATCTCTTGTAATCTATATCTGTCTCTTTTTGCCATTTCCAGGGCTGTGATCCAATCCTGCCATGTCAGCTTATTGCCTTTGCTTAAAAGCTTGACCTTGATTTTATTGTTCTCGAGATCTCTTATGAATTTTTATCTGAATGTGTCAATTTCTAAGTTTGTGCAACACACATGGTGATGAGAAAGGTTCTTTAAGATTGTAATCTGCAACTGGTTCCATTGGCAAAAGGCAGTACAGTTAGATTCTTAGTTGTGTGATGACACGAGTCCAGAATCTCATTATTTCAGGACAATCCATAATAATGTGGTCTTGTGGCAATGATAGTTAGACTCCAGCTCAAAAACATCTGACCCAACATGGTTTGAAAAACATTTACTTTATTCTAATACTGCTCACTTCCAACCAAGTGTATAACTTTTGTTTGCAATTACACCGGTCTTCTTTGTATTTTTCAGTTACACGTCATACTGACTCAGTGTGTACATTATCTCAATATAAAGTGCAACTTTTAAAAATGTTCAAACGTCTTCAGAACCAACTTTTAGGAGTTCGAAAATGTGACACAACTTCTCCAAATAAATGTAAAACCATCTGTCCCCGTCTTGGCAGTTTTCTGTTATATATTTCAATTGCATGCTGCCATTATTGATTCATTTAATTTACGCCTTCTCATAACAGAGGCTGTACACCCTGTCAGTGACACCCAGCTTTACCCCAACGTCATTTCTCTTGAGCTGTTCACTGTTGGAAAGTTAAGGCCACTATTAGATCAACCATGATCTTATAGACTAGTGCAGCAGGATTGAAGGGCTGAATGGCCTACCTCTACTTTTGTATTTTGAATCAACCTGTTCAGATATGATGTGAGATATTTCTGGCTTAGTCGGGACTTGAACCCAGACTCTCTGGCCCTACCACAATGACGCAAGAGCCCCCTTCCTATACTCGTATTCCTATTTTAAAGAAATATCAGACTGGTCCGGGGGAGGTCGTTTTCCTTTTGAAAGCCTTTTTCTCAGCAAAGAAATTTTTTTAAAAAATTAACCTATTTTTCTAATTAACCTGACATTATGACACACATTTGGAGCAGGTGGGACTTGAACCCAGGCCTCATGGTTCAGGGGTAGGGGCACTAACACTGCAGCACAAGGAGGTCCCAGCAAAGCAATTGTTGATTCTGTCATAATAATAAGTAAGGCTGATGAGTACTTAAGGAGTCACGCTATGTGTTGTTGAATAAATGGAGGGTTTATTGAATTTTGGATGGTCTCAATAGTGTACTTCAGGAAAGGGAGACATTAAGATGCTGATGTTCCATAATACATTCCAAACTAGGGAAGGAAATCAAAAGTGTAAAAAGCAATTCTAGCAACATATTAATGATTTATTAGTAACATTATTAAAACCTTGGCAGTGATTGAAAAGCAGCAGAAATGAATGAGATTCAGTCTATTTGAATTACCTCTGGTGCAATATGATTACTTTTATATTTAGTCCTCTCTGTCACTCATTAGGTAGTCATCAATGCTTTGCCAAGTGGGTACACTTGATCAACCATTCTCGCTTTGGCAAATGAACAAAGTGGAGAAAAGTGATTCAACAGCATTTGATCTTTTGAGTTTTAAAACTACACAGTAGTTTCCACAAAATGTGCCAAAATGTTTTGGAAATATCTTTCAAACGAAGGAATAACAAGGTTGTAATTCAGTTTCTTCTGCTACCTCAAAGGCACACATGTAACAAAATGACTGTTGTTTTGTCTTTATGGAACAGGGAATACTCTCCGTGTGTAATGAAGCTTAAGTATCTCAACTTCTGATGTTTTCAGACTTGGTGCTGTCCTGTCCCTGGATCTGACACTGCACCCACTGTTCTCACTGTAAAAGTTTATAGATGGAATTGGTAAGTTACGTGCACAGCATTATTGTCAAGTTTTGTGTGTCCGACAATGGAGATGGTTGAAGTGAATGGCTCCTGTACATCTCGCGCGTGCTCTCTCTCTTGCCCCCCACTCTCTCTCTACCACCCCCTCCCTCTTGCTGTCCCCCTCTCCCTGTCTCTCTCCCTCACGCACACATACTCTCACTGATTTTAAAACAAAAAGGCATGTGATTAAAATAAGAATGTAGAAAGGTAATTTAAAACTATGTTATGAAAAGCAATTTGCAGCATTACTCAGGCAACGGGATTGTAATTCCTGACTTGATGACTCCAGCTCCAGTCATCAGGTACTCAGGGCTCTCACACAGCACACAGCTACTGCACGTCCACTTCACTCACATGCCAATGCTCCATGCCCACATCTTGCGGTCTCCCTCTCCATATGCCTGCAGTTATTTAGCTAAAAACACTCAAAATAACACAGTGCAACACAATAATTCACATTCTTCCCTCATCCTTGCAGGATGTGGAGGTACGCAATGGAAATAGCAGAGCAAACCAGTGACAGACAAAAATGCATGCCCCTCCGTAACTCTCAGACCGGGGGAAGGGGCGGAATGTTCATGTGGGGAGGGAAAGGGGGGTGATGGGTGGGCAAGGTTTCAGAGGAATTCTGCTACAAGGAACCCAAACGAGGACGTTGGCAGGACAGCGTACAGGTGAAAGCTGATGGGCATGTTTGCAGAGATATTGGTGGAATTGGTTGGTCTCCGTTACAGATATCTTCTTTCTCTTGAGAAGAATGTAAGGGCCTGGGTTTCAATTTGGTAGAAAGGATATGGAGCAGAGCTTGTCCTCTTCTCATGGCTTCTGTGTGTTCCTGGCATGCTGAGACCCAGAGACACTGCCAGTGCTGTCTCCATTTGTGTCACAGCCTTTGAGTGAACAGAAAATCCACTCCACTGCTCTCCTGTGAGGGTGCAGCAACACACTCTTTAAAATCCAGGAACTCCCCGACCAAACCTCTGAAGATACTCCTTAGTCTTTTCAGACAGCTTCCAATAGCTTGCAATAGTCCTTTAAGTTCACTTTAGCTGCAAGTTGGGTGTCTATCTATAATACAAAAGGCCCAGACTTCACTCTTAAAAATTTGTGAGTGTTGTGGAAATTTATTGAATGGGCCTGTGTAATCCAAATTTGGAAAAATGCACCCAGGTAATTACGCAGTAGGGCTGTGCGACATCAGGATTTCAGCAGTTCAGTTGCATCTGGCACTTGCATAGGATGTTCACTGGAGCAATGTTCTTGGGCACAATTGCCTGTTGACAAAAGTCTGTCCAATTTGGATGATGGGCAAATTGTCTAAATGCATGGCCATGCACAAGGAAATTGAAATGGGCTGCTCCATGGGGATATTGATGTTGCTGTGCAGTTTAGGACGAATGCTAGCCGGTGATATCCACAGTGTCCACAGGGTGCACAACTGCATTTTGAGCCCACAGATACCACACAGCCTTCATGCTTTTTTTCTGTCACCATTAAAACCTTTTTCTTTCAGTGAAACCAAAGGTTTTGTCAATTCTTGAGGCATTGGGAGATGCTCATTGAACACCTACCATTCCTCTTTAATAAAATAAATGGGATAACGCTGAGGTGCAGTTGAATGACTAGTTGTTGAGAAAGATTGGATGGTAAGGTTCAGTATAGTTATAGAGAAGAAGTAGTTACTGAAAAGCAATTTGAGTTATTGTCCATAAAAAACATTGAATACTTTATCAAGTACTCTGTTGCAACTTTTGTCATGCCACCTTAGAATGTTTAGATCAGTTACGTTCAAAACAATGTTCAGTATGTTGGTAACTTAACCACATATTAACACATACATTAACAAAATTGTAACAAAAATAGACCACACAATAAGATTGTGGCTGATATGTTTGTGTTTTGAATTCTACATTCCAATCTTTCCTTGATAACTCTTGATTCCCCTTCCGTAAGAAGAATCCATCCACCTGTCTTAAAAATATGCATTGGCCCTTCCCCTAGTACCTTCTGAGGCACACAGAGTTCTGAAGTTAATGGCAGTTTGAAGATTTTTGTGTAGATGTCAATGGTTGAAACAAGCTAACATTTTCAAGGTAGCACTGAGTGTTGATGGAAATGGTAGGATGAATGGAAAAGGGGCTAAAATAATAACTCTAACTTTAGAATAAAAGCAAAATACTGTGGATGCTGGAAATCTGAAATAAATATAAAGTGCTAGAGTAATTCAGCAGGTCTGGCAGCACCTGAGGAGAGAGAAACAGAGTTAATGTTTTTTGTCTAGTATGGCCTTTCTTCAGAACACAACTGAGTTCTGAAGTAAAGTTCTGAAGAAATAACTGTCATAACACCTGTATGCTGGCATTTCCAAAAGCACAGGGTTTCATATTTAACTGTGTCTGATTGATTGATTTATTGTCACATGTACTAAAGTACAGTGAAAAGTTTTGTTTACGAGCGGTACAGGCAGATCTTAGTAAGCAAGGATGTACAGATCCAAGGTTGTAAAAAGACTTAGACAGAGGCATACAGGTTACATTACACAGGACGTGTGCTAGGCAAGATCAACGTTAGCAAGATCAGCATTATTTGAGGCTAGAGAGTCCATTCATCAGTCTGAAAATGGCCAGGAAGAAGCTGTTCCTGAACTGCTGGTGTGTGTGTTCAGACTTCTGCATCTTCTGCCTGATGGAAGAGGTTGTAGGAGATCATTACTGGGGTGCAATAGGTGTTTGATATTGGCAGCCTTTCCACAGCAGTGAGCTCTGTAAATGGAGTCCATGGATGATTGGTAAATCGGGGAAAAAAGAAAGAAAAAAATAGGAAATGAAGTGAAGTGAATGTGCAATCTTATCTCAGTTCCTACTCACTGCAGACACTAGAAAGCACAGATCTACCCTCTAAGTAGCACTAATTTACCAACCTCACTTATTGGAGATGTAAGGATTATTGATATTGGATGAGATAACCTTGCATCTGTGACACTGTAGTGTATTGGTAATGTTACTGCTCAAGAGACCCTGAAAATAAATCTGCCATTGGAAACCTAGTCTCACTAAGTGAAAGTGAACCTACCATCAATTGTCGTGTAAATCCATCTGTTTCACTGATTTCGTTCAGGGAAGGAGATCTGCCATCTTTGCCCAGTCTTGGCTTTAGGTCCACAGCAATGTGGTTGACTCTTTACGTCCTTTTGAATTTGACATCTGAAATTTCCAATTTGGCCATGGCAGCCCAGCATGAGAAACAATTGCTGACATTGCCAGTGATGCCCACAACTCAATGGGGGAAAAAAGCATGTAAAAAAATGAAACGACACCTTTCAGAACCTAAGGACCTGCTAAAAGCTCTTTACAGCTGATGGAGAACTTTTGAAGTGTAGTCATTGTTTCATGCAGAAAAATGTAGTAGCCAGTCCCCTCTGTAGACAATAACCAGATAACCTGTTTTGTTGTTGTTGGTTGAGAGATAAACGTAGGCCAGGATTATAGGGAAATTGCCCACTCTTTGAAACATGTTCTGAGAGAAGGGAAGAGGGCCTCAATGTCGCATCTCTAAATTGGTACCTTTGACAGTGCAGCATTCCCTCAGTACCATAGTTGAAGTATCAGCTGAGATGACATGGAGTCTTTAAAATAGGACTGCCCTCTGCGTCACAGGTAAGTGTGCTGCTGCTGAGCTAATGCTGGCATCCCTGGCATGTAGAGTTTGGTTCCACTTAGACGATATACTGTCAAGTGCATTTGATATCAATACCTGAAACTTATGACTGTGTCTCCCTGTCTAAGACCGTACTCGCTCGCTCACTGATCTTTTACTACTGGGTGGAATCGAGGTCAGATTGAAAGGTTGAAACTCTTTCTTCTCCTCATTATAATTGTCCTATGATCATAAATGAGAAGTTAGTTTTACAACGTCAGTCAGTGTCTTTTAGACTGCAAGGAATTGGAAATGCCCTCATTTAGCATATTGTGGCTTCTATTTGGGTTCTGCAATTATTTTCATCTGTTTATGGAATGTGGGTGTCACTAGTTGGGCAGCTTTTATTATCCATCCATGTTTTTCTGGAAATGGTGGTGGTGAGCTGCTTGAACCATTGCAGTCTTTGGAGTGCGGGGCACACCTTCAGCGCTGCTAGGAAGCGAGTTCCAGCATTTTGACTCAGTGACAACAGAAGAATAGTGATACATGTCACGAAAGGGTGCATTAGATGGGGGATTGCAGGTGGTGGTGTTCCCCTGCGTCTACTGCATTTGTCCTTCTAGGTGATAGGAATCACAGGTTTGGAAGGTGATATCTGAGGAGAGTTGCTTTAATTCATCTTGTAAATGGTACGTTCTGTTGTGATTGTGCATCAGTTTTGAAGGGAGTGAATGTTGAAAGTGGTGGATGTGGTGCAAATCAAGTTACCTGCTTTACCCTAGATGGTGTCAAACTTTTTGAGTGTTGCTTGACCTGCCGTCATTCAGGCATTATTATTCCATTGCACTCTTGACTTGTGCTTTGTAAATGGTGGACAGACATGTAAATCAGGAAATTAGTTAATTTCAGATTTCCTGGCTTGACGTTGTAACCACTGTATTTATAAGCCTGGCCAAGTTCAATTTCTGGTCTCTGGTAACGCCCAAGATGTAAATAGTATTTACCATTGATGAATGTCAAATAGTGATTTCTGAAGAAGGGTCTAGGCCCAAAACATCAGCCTTCCTGCTCCTCTGATACTGCTTGGCCTGCTGTGTTCATCCAACTCTACACCGTGTTATCTCATGGTCAGATTCTGTTTGGTTTGAGATGTTTTCTATGTTACCCTCTGAAAGTGTTTTTCTGTTAGCACCATCTGTGATTGTTGTCTAGTTATGAGCGAGATTTGGGTTGATGCAGATTTCAGGAGGTCTTGTTATCAATAAATATTACCTTTCATTGAACATTGTCTTCTAACTAGGTACAGGACCAGACTTCACACAGGCTTTGGATGGAACCATCTCTAGTAGTTTTGGTTGTTCTGTGATTTTTTTCATCACTGATGATGTAAGACTACTTGATTTACATATTAACATTAACCCCTCACACTACAGTGCGTTCTGAGCTGATGTGTTAATGCAGTTGCCAGAATGCTGCTTTGTCTTTGGTTGAGTCATAGCTTCACATGCTTGTTTAGGTGGATATAATGTTTAAGTTCCTAGAATGCTGGCAAAGCAACAGAGAGTAATCCATCTCGTCGCATTTGTAAACAACTTATATAGTCATTTCTTCATTGTGGGACTTTGCTGTACATAATTGGCTGTTGACTTTGTCATAACAGCAATGAAAACATACTAGTAATCCATTGACTGCAGATTATTTCTTGACCTTCTGTGGACATCGAAAGGTCCTATATAAATTGAAGCTTCATCTCACACCTGACCCAAATGCTGAACGCAAATGTTTAATGGTATCATGTTCTTGAGACCTTGGGTTCCATTCATGGATGGGATTGTGGGCATTGCAGGCTACACCCGCATTTATTGCCCAGCCATGTTGCTGTGGGCCTGGAGTCACATGTGAGCCAGACCAGGTAAGGATGGATGTTTCCCTCCCTAAAGGACATCAGTGAACCAGGTGGGTTTTTTCGACAATCGACAATGGCTTCGTGGTCATCATTAGACTTCTAATTCCAGATTTTTATTGATTTCAAATTCCGTCAGCCATGGTAGGATTCAAACCAAGTCCCCAGAACATTACCTGGGTCTTTAGATTAATATTCTAGTGATAATACCACTAGGCCATTGCTTCCCCTTAATTATTTAAAAAAGAACAAACAATAATTGCAATTGCCAATAACTCAAAAACAAATTGTTTTTCAAAATCAGGTTTTGATATGGCTGAGGATCACTTGTTGTTGTAAAGAGGTACTGACAATAATCATCATTTGTAAAAGCAAAATAATGCAATGCTGGGAATCCAAAATAAAATGGAAAATGCTTGAACTATTTGGCAGGTCCAATTATTTCCAGTAATTTCTGTTGATTGTTTGAAAACTTGATGTGGGTCCTCAGAGTTTAAGCATGGAAGAGATATCATCCACTATGCTGTGTGGTATTTACAAGTGTTTGTGAAAATCCTAGAATAAAAGTGCTTACATAAGCCTATTTGTTTTGAATCCCTGCAGCTACAGGTCAGATGTCTCCTCCTGACCATCTTTGCTGCCTCTATTGGTGGTACCTTCCAATATGGGTATAACCTGTCAATCATCAATGCACCAACAATCGTAAGTATAGGCCAATGGTCAATTTTAAAAGATCAGCTGTTTCCATATTTGTAGAGGCAAAATTAAGACTAAATCTGTATTTTCTTTACTTCACAATGATAGTTTATCCAAAATTTTATCAATGAGACTTGGACTGAGCGCTTTGGCACGCAATTGGAGAAGCAGGTCATCACAATGCTCTGGACCTTTATTGTGACGGGTTATTCTGTTGGAGGATTGGTTGGGGCACTTATTGCTGGGCCCATGGCAGTAAGGTTTGGAAGGTATGAGCTGCACCAAAGAATGTTAGGGTTAAATGCCAACTATCAGACGATTCACTGCCTAGAAATATCTTCCTTTTTGTGCTATGAATGAGATGTAAATGGGAGCGCAGCACAGAGTGAAAACAATACCAAGATGATGAAAAAGAAGTTCAGAAGAAGTAAATTGCCTGACCAGTGCTTACTTTTTATTCATTTTTCCAAAATGAACAATGTCTTTTCTTTTGAGTTTGATTCTATCTTTGACTTTTTTAGTGAACTGTGGATGATGGATTTGTCCCTTGGAATGTTTCTTATTTGTTGAAATGTATCTATTCAGCACTGTCTGGAATATCCCCTTAAATATTTGCAATTGCATCCCTGTTGACCTATCTCTCTAAATTGCCAGTCCATTCTCGCTAGCTGTGCTTTCATGCTTTCAATAGTAGCCTAAACTGCATGTAAAATTCAATCATATTATGGTCACTACTACCCAGGACAGCTTTCACTATGAGGTCAGTAATTAATCCTATCTCATTGGTGAAGACCAGGTCTAGCACTGCCTGCTTGCTAGTATGTGCCATCACCTGCTGGTCTAAGAAATTGTCCTGAAAGCTTTTAATGAATTCCTCATCTAGACTACTTGTTCTTATTTGATTTTTCCAGTGTGTTAAAATCCCCAATGATAATTCTCGTACCCTTTTGACAAGCTCCCATTATTTGTTCCTCATTATCCTGTCATACCATGTGGTTACTGTTTAGGGGCCTGTAGACAACTCTGACAGGTAACCACTCAACTTTATCATTCCTCATCGCCCTCAGATTGCTTCTGTATCCTGGTTTCCTGAATTTAGGTCATCCCTCTCCATTGTGCTAATATTTAGAATGCTAAATGCGATCAAATACTATGCCTTAAGTTTAGTGTTTTTACTATTTTTATAACTTCTATATTTATTGATTTATTTTATTTTGCAAATTATTTCAGGATACGCATCGTACTGTTAATGCATAGCACAGTATTTTAATTGGTATATTTGTTTTTTGGGCAAAAAAATGACTTGGTGGGGGGTTTTCATTCAGACATTTCCTTCCCCAGGAAACCAATGTATAAATCCTTGGAACTTAACATTATTTCACATAAAGTCGCAATTTGGGACACAACCATAATTTTAAGTGACGACTTCCTATAATGCCAAGGGATGCCACAAGAGAGGGCAGAAGGTATTCCAGTTAATTCCTCAACCAAAAGATGGCTCCCCTGACAGTGCAGCACTCCCTCAATACTCTTGTATATAATTCAAAAAGGAGTATCAGCTGGTATTGTCAACTGGAGTCCCTGGAGTAGGATTTGAATCCACAATTCTGGATGGGCTGGATTAAGTGCAGTACATTGTAGCAGGAAACAGAGTGGCTGGGCCCTCCTAATCACAGGAGAAGACCTGAATCACACTCCCAATTGTGGAAAAACATCCTCTTAAGCCAGAGGGCTGGAGGTCTGAGCCCGGATTTCCAAAGGGGGTGTCAATTAAGTTCATTAAGGACCCAGTGTCAGGCAATATCCTTGAGTCTTCTACCATTTAGTGGTGACTCGGGGATTAAATAGCAGCTGCATGGTTTTTCCATGCCTGCTGAAGGCCTTCCAGTAAATTCTGACAAGTGAGCCTCCAGGGAGAATGAGCAAACTGGCCATAGTACCATGGTACAGGGAGCCATTCCAGAACAGGGAGAAAAGTGAAATGTAATTGTAACCAGGGATAGTATACTCAGGGGAGTAGGCAGTGTTCTCTGTGGCCAGGATTGAGAGTCGCAAAGGCTTTGTTGCTCGCCTGGTGCCCAGGTTCAGGAAATCTCTTCTGGGCTGCAGAGAAACTTGGAGAGGGAGGGGAAAGATCCAGTTGTCGTGGGCCGTGTAGTTGCCAACAGTATAGATGGAAAGAGGTTCTGTTGAGGGAATATGAGCAGTGAAATTAAAAAGCAGAACCAAAAAGGTAATAATCTCTGAATTACCACCTGAGCCACGAGCAAATTTGCACAGGGTCAACAAGATTAAAGAGAGAAACATGTGGCTCAGAGTTTGGGTGGGGGAGAAACAGGTTGGAATTCACAGGACGTTGGCATCAGTGCTGGGGAAGGAGGGAGCTGTTCCAGTGGGAGGGGCTCCACCTGAATCATGTTGGGACCAGAGTCCTGGCAATTCGTATAACCATGGCTATGGATGGGGCTGGGATCAAAATTGAATGTAAAGGGGAAAGTAGTAATGCTGGTTAGTGATGGGATTAATTGTTACCAGAAAATAAAAAAGAAGGGATAGAATGTGTGACTGTCATATTGTACAGAGAGAGTGGCAGAGGGAGTGGTTTACCTTGTTAGTGAAAAAGGAAATGAAATTGATAACCAGAAGTGATCTAGGATCGAAAGGTGTCGAATCTGAATGGGTAGACTTGAGGAACCGCAATGGAATTCTGTACAGGCCTGCCAGACCACACTTGGAATATTGTGAGCAGTTTTGGGCTCTGTA